CCCTGGTTCAACCTCTAGAACTGCAAGAAAAGAAACAGAGAAAGATATTTAGTAAATAAAGATTTGGTTTGATATTGTGAAAAGACGATAGTGTAGAAAAATTAATCACTATTTAATTGAATACATCCAGGAGAACTTGAATATGAAAAAGTTTCGTTGGAGTTAAATATGACAGATACTAATTTATTTTGCTAGTAAACTAAGATTTCACAGTAGTTGGAATAGAGAGTTGTGGTAGGACAGGAGTTTCCACAGGATAGATTATTCAAAAGGCACACATGAGTCAAAAGAACCTGCCCAGCCTATCCAGCCAGTGCTCAATTGGTGTCACAACTAGAAGTGTTGCTTTGATTATGTCTTCTGATCTACCAACTTGCCCTAGCATACAAGCAGTGTGTGTAAAAGTAAATATACAGTGAGGGTTTTTCAGTTAGATTTTCACTCTTTTGGGGGCTAGAGGGGTGGGGATGAACAATTAAAATGATTAGCCTGCCAGGGAGGCTGGGATTGTGGCTGGGCCATAGAGCGTTCACCCTGCATGCGCGGGCCCCTGGGTTGGATCCTCAGCACCACATAAAAATAAACGAATGGAATAAATGTATTGTGTCCAACTACAACTAAAAAAAAAAAAATTAAAAAGATTAGCCTGCCAATTGTAGTCATTTAAAAAATCTAAATGAATAAAACCATCTATAGAAATAACAATGATTCAGATGATAATCTACTATGCTCAAAAATTTTTTAAAGGGGGCTGGGGATATGGCTTAAGCGGTAGCGCGCTCGCCTGGCATGCGTGATGCCCGGGTTCGAGCCTCAGCACCACATACAAACAAAGATGTTGTGTCCGCCGAAAACTAAAATAAACATTAAAAGAATTCTCTCTCTCTCTCTCTCTCTCTCTCTCTCTCTCTCTCTCTCTTTAAAAAAAAAATTTTTTTAAAGGAAATAAAAAGATGACTAAATCTTTCTAACAATTAACCTCAACATATGCCCTTCAATTTTAGCATAACATTACTAATTTTAATCATACTACTTTTATAATTTTGTTTGTGTTTAATGCAAATATACATGTTTCTATGTGCGTATTTTAACCATAAGAATATATAAACTATCATAATAACTTCAATGATATAAAAGTGATATATATCAATTCCGGATATCCTCAGTAATTTTCTTTCTCTCAAGGGCATGTTTATATAACATGAGCTTGAGAATTACTAGTTTAATCATAAAACAGATTAACAGTAAATCTTGTGGTTTATAATGCTACTCACATGATAAATGCTATGTATTAATTTAAAATGTTTTCGATGAATTTTAGAAATTTTAGAAAAATATCTTCTTTTAAAATATCAATGCTTACTTTCTGAAATTAGAGATAATGGATTTCATGACATAGTTCTTTCCAGAATGCATTGGCTTAAGGATAGAAATAGTAGACCTTTTGGAGTGTTTATTGTATGAAAGATAAACAGTGTTTTTTAAAAGAACTGTTCCAAATTGCTCAAGGTTGTTTAGAACTTCCACTAGCCCTAATGGAGCTACAAAATATTAAGAAAGAAAAATATGTTTTAGTAGTTGTGCCTTTGAGAGATAAAGATAGTACTTTCATTGCTAAGACATTTCATATATTCATCTCTTATTTATATGTGAATAACAAAGCAACAATTTTCATATCTCTGTTGGACATAATTTTTAATGTACTATTTAAAATTCAACAGCTATTTTGAAATCAATGAAATATATGGAAAAGCCAAAATATTTGCCAGTCAATAAGTATGTACTTAAATGGAGCACTTAAAAATTGAAAAGTTAAATAACCTGGAATGAATATGTATGTATGTATGTATATAGTTCAACATTTATATATATTCAATTGTAACTCTGCCCATAAAAACCAAATGAATAACTAAACTATTTAGTAAATATTCATATTTAAAGTATGTTTTCCCTAAAACATTTTATATTCTCAGCATTGCCAGGTGAGGCAATGTTTCATATTTGGTGGCTCAAATTTGGAAGTAAAGACAGTTCATATATAGAACCAAGAAACTGGTAACCTTAGGAGAGAGACTGAAAGTTCTGTCTTAGCTTCAACCTCCAAGCCAGTGCTGGGAATGTCTTCTGGAGTGTCTATCCTGATGTGGGGCACCATGGAGAAAGCTAAGAAAATCAATCCTAATTGCATCTCAGTTGTCTTAATTTCAACACTTATATCATCAATAATCCATTTAAAAAAAGGTTTTGCTTAAACTCCTGGTACTACTGCCTATGTTTAGAAATCAGATTGTGATTGACAGGCTTTCCCTACTTTATTCTTAAGACAAATCATTGCAAACCAGGAAGGAGGTGAGAACTATTTCTAGATTAGACTATTTCTCCCATTCTTAATACTGCCACGCCTGGAAAATGCAACTCGCAGCCCTCCCTATACCCTTTTAGCAAAAGGGAAAGACTTTGACTCTAGATACTTTTGTAAAGATTGGTGTCTGGGGCAGGAGGAGGCAGAGAGCAGTGGTGAAAGGTCTTCTTTGGTGCTACTGTTTTCCCAAGGGGCAAAGGTGGAAAGAAACAAAGGCATCTCAGTATAAGGATGAGGACTATTGTTTCTAAAGGCAGAATCAGAACTATGTTAGTAGGGCAAATAGCAATTCCAGTTTTCACTAAGACTTATCCAAGAAAAATTAATGTCTGTCTTTGAAAAATGTGCTGATTTATTAAGCCAGCTAATAAAAAAAAACTGTTTCATTAGTTTTACTATAGGAAGACTGCACTCAAATTTGAAGATACATTAACCCACATTCAAGGGATCGGCATGCACTACCCAGTCCTCAGATCCCCAACACACAGACACCCATATACTCTCTCTCTCTCTCTCTCTCTCTCTCTCTCACACACACACACACACACACACACACACACACAGCAATGAACAGCAAGTATACATTCCTATGCACTCCCACCTTGCCCACCAGAGCCGAGCCCAAGAGCATTATTCTAATCCAGGTCTCCTCTCATGCAAGAAAAGCTGCAGTTGCTGGACCTACATACTTGAAGCTTGTGAGGATGGAGAGGCTGAAAACCAAGTCCCAGGTGGAGACATCTGATACAGGGAAAGTCCGATTCCGCTAAAACTTAACTCTTGTACCCCTCTTTCTGTGGTAAGTTCTTTTTGAAATTATCCCAACCCTTCAGCAAAGGATTTCATATAAAGATGAACAAGGTGATACAAAGTGTATGTGTGTGGCAAAGAGTGTCTGCTCCAACTCCATCCCTCCTGAGCCTCAACAGAGGAAGGACATCAACCCTTCTGTGAATTTGTCAAGTAGTGCTTGAAAGAGACCACATTTTGTACCACTACCTTTGCTGCCTGCAGAATAAACTAAAACCCTCTGGACCTGAGGACCAGCAAGTTTCTGTTACTTTAAAAACACCCTTGGCTTACATACAATCAGTATATAGTACGCAGAGAATATGGGAAAGGGGAGATGAAAAATAGATTCTTGGCTCTCCTCTCTGTACCCAAATGTAACAGTAACCTGGCTCATGTTCTGCCTCCCATACCACCAGCTTTAAGTAACTATAAAAGAATCAGGCTCAATTTTTCATTGGGCTCAAAAAGAAACATGTGTTTACCATGCATTCACTGACTCATTTAACCAAAAAAAATTATTGTATGCCAAGTATATGGTAGACTAGAGGAGAAGGCTATGTGGGATATGAGTAGTTCAGGAAATTAGCACTTTGCACATTTTAGTCTAAGATAAGAATTCCCAAATTCTGTTGCTAGAACCATTGATTGTTTGGGGCCAGTATGTGACAAAATGAGAATGGTAAGAACCATGTGGTGTAGAAATGCAAATTAGAGTAAGATTGGGAAGGACTGATTTTTTATTCTTCGCAACTTTTTCTATTAAAATTCTTTCCTTTTATGAAATGGCATAATAAGAAAATTTTCTTTATTAATTTTTTAATTTGGAAATGCTATGTTGGTCAATCAAATTTTTTAGTTTACAAAATTACAAAATTTGAGTAATACTCATCCAAGAAATACACATTAAAGCCCTGAATAAAATCAAGCATTTTTATGTGGTAAATTATAGTTTATAAAAGACTTTCATTTTCAAGATCTCATTGGAACCATACCCTTTCCCGTGCCTGAACACACACCACACACACACACACACACACACACACACACACATTTACTTGAATTTGTAGTTCAAAAAAGAAATTATCCACAAGCCTTCTTTTTCTGTAAGGGTTTTTTTTTTTTTGTTTGTTTGTTTGTTTTTGTTTTTTTTAGTTTTCGGCAGACACAACATCCTCGTTTGTATGTGGTGCGGAGGATAGAACCTGGGCCGCACGCATGCCAGGCGGGCATGCTACCGCTTGAGCCACATCCCCAGCCCTATTTTTTTTTTTTTTTTCCTGGCACTGGAGATGGAATCCTGGGACACTCAACCACTGAGCCACTTCTTAATTAGTTTGTTCCAGCCTATAACACACACAAAGTAGATTCAGAATTGCCATTCCACGGAGACCTGGCGACCTGGCAACCTTGCGACCTTGCGTGCCTCCTCCATCTTGGAGAGGGCACGCTGTATAAGTGCAGGGTGTGAGCACAGGTGCTCACCCAGATCCTTCAGCGGGCGCTGTGGAGGAGTTAGGGCCTGGACGGCGTTCAACCAAGAGCGGGCCATCCTCTCCGGCGGAGCTGCAGGCTGAGGCTCCTTGCTGGGAAGCGACCCCGCTCACGCTCCGCAGCGGGAGTCGGGCGACTCAGGCCCGCCACCGGCGTGAGGGGCCCTGAGCGCGGCCTTCCTCCACGTGCTTAGGCGACCCGCGGCAGATCTCACGCTCCTCCAGTCGGCAGCGGCCCCAGAGGGGAAGTCTATGGAACATTATCTTGACTTTTCATCTTAGAAGCGAATCATTAAGCAGAGACCAGATTCAGTGGGTGAGCGCGTGTTTTGGACACTGGACTGGTTGAGCCCACCTCTATTTTAAAAATGTCTCAGAGGAACCTGGAACTAGTGATGGACTTTCTGTCCTACAAGCTTTCCCAGAAAGGATACCGCTGGAGCCAGTTTAGCCGTAAGGAAGAGAACCGCGTTCAAGCCCCAGAAAGGGCTGAATCAGAAGAGGGGCCCAGCAATGCCACCAACGGCAACCCATCCCGGCATCAGGGGGACAGTCCCATGGTGAGTGCAGCCGCTGGCCATAACAGGAGTTTGGATGCCCCAGACGTGGTCCCCATGGTAGCAGTGAAGCAAGCGCTGAGGGAGGCAGGCGACAACTTTGAAGGGCGGTACCGGCAGGCATTCCATGACCTGACAGCAGAGCTCCGCCTCACCCCGGAGACAGCACATCACACTTTTGAACAGGTAGTGGACGAACTCTTCCTGGATGAGGTAAGCTGGGGTCGCATTGTGGCCTTTTTCTCCTTTGGAGGAGCACTGTGCTTGGAAAGCATAGACAAGGAGATGAAGGTGTTGGTGTGTCAGATCGCAAGTTGGATGGCCACTTACCTGAATGATCACCTAGATACTTGGATCCAGGACCACGGTGGCTGGGACACTTTTGTGGAACGCCATGTGAATAATGTGGCAGTGAATAGCCGGATGCGCCAGGAGAGTTTCAACTATTATTTCCTGATGGGCATAACTGTGGCTGGCGTGGTTCTGCTGGGCTGGCTGTTCAGTCGGAAGTGACCAGACCCTGACCACCCACTCACCCTCCCACCTTGCCCCACCACATCCCTCTGTCCAGCCACCATTGCCCCAGGAGAACTCTTCATTACATACATCTACACCCACCATCCTTCACTGCTTTAGACCTAAGACCTGGTTTCCTGCAGTTAGTTTTCTAGAACTACTACACTTCTTTGACAGCCACCTTCCCGAATATCTCAGTTATCTTGGCATCAAAGTCTACAATATTTTCCCAAAATCTGTCCCACGAAAACTGAAAGGATAGTTTTTGAACCTCTTCCCCAGAAAAAGACTAGATTGCCTTTGTTTTAATGTTTGTAGCCTCAGAGTTGATTATCTTTACCCATCCCTCTCTGGACCTGAGCCCCTATTCCTTCTATCTCTACCCCCAAGAACCATTTAGAGGCCACTTTTGACTAATTAGGAATTCAGGCTGCTTGGGATAAAGAAGCCAGGATCAGGACTTCCTCCCCCACCACTGGCCTGGACAAAGTCCCCACTCCTAGTGTGAATGTCTGCGTAGAGTCTAGTCCCATCTTGGAGAGACAATATAGCTTCAGGAAGTACCCCATGCAAAAGCTAGCATGGTCCCTGCAGTTTAGCACCACCCTAGTCCCTTCATCTCCTTTCTCCTGGCTCTCAGGACCATGACCAAGTGACCACCTGGGCCCAAGACTGTTGCCCCAGATCTATTTATGGCCTGAGGTAAGCTGGGGTTGCATTGTGGCCTTTTTCTTCTTTGGAGGAGCACTGTGCTTGGAAAGCATAGACAAGGAGATGAAGGTGTTGGTGTGTCAGATCGCAAGTTGGATGGCCACTTAACCTAGAGACTTGGATCCAGGACCACAGCAGCTGGGACACTTTTGTGAAACACCATGGAAATAATGTGGCAGTGAATAGCTGGACTCACTTCCTGCAAGATCATCATGTGGCATTATTGTGTTGGGTGGCTGCCCATCAGGTACAGGGATTCAGGGACCTCACCCCAGAGTTAAAGGGGAGATATAGGGAGCAGCAGTAGTAACTCTGGGGTCTTCCCTACCTCAGGAAGGAGTGGCAGGAAACAGACCTTGGTGCACAGGACAGTGGATGTGGGGCCGATTGGAAGGGCCTGTCTTGCCTGATCAGGTAGATATTTCCCCTCTGTCCAGCCTGAGCATCAGGGCTGCCAAGGTCAAAGTGACCTGGCCAAGACCCCTTCAGGCCTCCCTCAGCTACAGCCTTGTTCTGTCTCATCTCTGCGGGTCTCAGCACAGCACTGGTCACTCCAGGCTCTCTGCTGTACATATTCCTGCCCGTGGTCCCTGGCCCCTCATCAGCATGTCGTGCAAAAAAAGTTAATATTAGGAGCTGAGATATAGCTCATTGTTAGTTTATTACTACCTAGAATACATGCAGCCCTGGGTCGAATCCCAAACACAAAAACTTATAAAATGATAAATCATGCAATGTGAATGCTACTATCATTGTATTTGGCATAAAACTTGCCAAAGTCAGTAATAGGGTCTTGAAAGCTAAGAGTAGTTTAAACATTTAAACATTATTTCTGTAGTTTACTATTTCAAACTTAATTTTTCCTTCAGAATTTGTAAAACTGAGCTGGGGTTAAAGCTCAGCATAACACTGCTTGCCTCACATGTGAGGCACTGGGTTAGATCCTCAGCATTACATAAAAATAAATAAGATAAAGATATTATATCCATCTTTAAAGAAAAATACTTTCCTTTAAAAAAAGAATTTGTAAAAGCAAACAGTGAGCTTTTTAATCTTCGTAGGATTTGGATGATGTTAGATTTTTGTACTCTGTGTTGAAATTAGTGCTTATTGGAAAAAAATAAAATCTTAAAAATTTTGGTCCTGTAGACAAAACTAATGGGAGGTACTGTGGGGCCCAGAGGGAAGTCTTTGGGTCACTGGGGTCCACTGGGGTCGCGACATAAAAGGAGATTGATTGTTCGAACTTGGTCTCTTCCTTTTTCTCTCTTGCTCTGTTTCCTGGCTTATGAGATGGTTTGTTCCACCCCAAACTCCCACTATGATGTGTTACCTCATCAGAAATCCAAAGCAAAGGGGCCATTTGAACATGGACTGGAAACTCTATGGTGATCTGAAATAAATATTTTTTCCTCATAAAAAAAAAAAAAGAATTGCCATTCCACACACAGGTGAAAAACAAGCTTACTAATTTATAAGAAGTAGTTACAACAAATAGTTTGTGTTTGTATACAGTTTTCTTGGCATACAGTTCTATTTATGTACATTTCTGTTTGCATACAGTTATTATTGTCTTTTGTAGAACATGTAGTGAAAATACTGTTTTCCAAAGTTCCATAGATTAATTCTATTGTTTTCCATATGCTTCATTGTGGCTGTTATTCATTTTTAGTAATGGTTTGTTAATATTTGTTTCTCATTTGTTAATATCAGTTTCTTAATTCAGAGAATGTGTAAAATATTGGTGCAACTCTAAAAGTCACAGAAGTGTCACTACCTCCCATCTCTCCTATCCTGTTCCCATTCCTTCGTTCTTTCCAACCAAATTTAGAAGTTATATTAATCTGGGTTTTGAGTAGGAGGATGGTTTTGCTCTTATATGTACTGGGAAACCAAGGAATAGATGGCTGCATGAGTGAACAGGATGATGCATTCAATTGTGTAAATGAGTTATCAAGTTTGAGTCTCTGCTCATGTGGAGATGAGCACAAGGAAATTAGTAATCTAGACTGGGCACTCAGGAGAAATTTAAAACAAGGAGAGAGGCCCTCTATAGAACCTGGAAAATGCATATTTTATTCTATTATCTTATGCATTTTCTTTTTATTGTCATAAAACCAGTCAGTTCATTAAGAACAAAGGTAAAGAATTATATATATATATACATATTATATGTATATATATAAAATATATATATATATATATGTATATATATATATAATTATATATAGGAGCTGGGGGTGTGGGGGTGTGGGTCAGTGGCAGAGCACTTGCCTAGCATGTATGAGGCACTGGCTTCGATCCTTAGCACTGCATAAAAAGAAAGAAAAAATTTTTTTTTTTACAAAATTGTATTTATATATTTATATCTCTGTACATTTGTTTAACTATTTCTTTGGATTGAAATGGCCAATTCAAAGAATGTGTGCATTGGGCATTTTTATATATTCTGCCAAATTTTCTTCCAGAAAGAGTAAGTTATTAAAATTATTGTATTGTTGATTTTACAAAATGTTTTAATATTCATAGTTTATCCACAGCCTTTATTTTTGTGTTGTTTTTTGGTTGAAATTGGTTTGAATATGAAAAAGTAAGATTGGATAAATGAGAGGAGAAGGAGGATGGAGCCAGAGATTTATTTTTAACCTATAGATTTTGATATCATTTTAACTAGCTAAAATTAAACTATGTGCATGTATGCTTCAGGTAATTAAAAACAAACAAAAACCATTTAAAAACTGATTACTGGGGTGGGGTTGTGGCTCAGTGGTAGAGCGCTTGCCCAGTTTGTGTAAGGCACTGGGTTCAATCCTCAGCACCACGTAGAAAAAAAAAAATAAGGAAAATAAGGGTGTTGTGTCCATGTACAAGATAGATAGATAGATAGATAGATAAAATAAAACCTGACTATGTGGGCTGGGTTCCAAGGCCCTAGGTTTAATTCCCAGCATCAAAAATAAGTTTAAAAAAAAAGACTCCATCTTTAACTTTTTTTTTTTAATATTTATTTTTTAGTTGCAGTTGGACACAATACCTTTACTTTATTTATTTATTTATTTTAATGTGATGCTGAGGATTGAACCCAGGACCTCGCAGGTGCTAGGCAAGCACTCTACCGTGGAGCCACAATCTCAGCCCTCCATCTTTCACTTTTAACAAAACTTTTTAACACTATGATTAATAGCTTTTAGGGCTGAACAGCATCCAAGCATGGTTGCCAAAAGCGAAACTCAAAGACTAAACTTGGCGACATTGCAGTACAGTGCAGCTGGCTTGTCTTATCTGACATCCAAACAGCGGACTGATCCACCAACTTTATAACCCCCATTAACTGAAATATTCTCCCAAATAGAACCCTTACTTTGGAATTCACTTCCCCCTCTATCTTCAGGCTTTTCTTCTCCTTGGAAAAGTTAACCATGTCCTTTTGTCTGTCTTAGTGAACCAAACTATGATGGTTCTGTTAAGCAGGGACACTTCACAATAGGGGGTAACAGCATCATGTATCGTCCAAACAAGCACACTTCTGAGGGCAAGAAGGTGCTTAGTGATGATAACGGGATAACAAGAGCAAACCACAGCCACCTCTTCAAAGTAGATTGAATAATCACCCTACTTAAAAGGCTTTTGACTACTCTTATTTTAGGGGTTAGTTTTTAAATTTTTTCAATATTATCAAATACTAGGTTCTGTAGGAGTCAGAAAAAAAAAGAACATATTGCCTATGATCTGGGCCCTTGAGAAGGTTCCCAGAAAACAGGACCAACCAGTGGCAATACAAGATAATAGGGAAACATCAAGAAGACCAAATACAACAAATAACGTCAAAAATTGCTTTCTTCATGATTTACAAATATATCACATTGTTAATCTCTTTTTCTTTGGAAGACTCAAGTGAAATTAAACATTATTATGTTAATTTTAGAGTTGAGGCTGAAAATATTGTAGAACGACCTAAAAAACACAGAGCATGTTAATCCTCAGTATCTGCCACCTATACATGAAGAGGTACCTCTTCTGTTACAACAGATGTTCAAAATAAATTTGATCTTTTAAATTATAACTGGTATGAAGAGACAGATTTTGAGATTGAGACTAGAGAAGGCTTAGATACCAAAATCAGGAGTATAACTGTGTTTATGTGGGTGTGTCTTCTATTCTGTACTATTGGTCTATATCTCTATTTTTGGTGCCAATACCTCATACTAGACAAAGCTGCCAAAAACATACATTGGAGAAAAGATAGTCTCTTCAACAAATGGTCCTGGAAGAACCAGAAATCCATA